GCCTAAAGTCTATGTTGCTAAAAGTATTTTAACATATGTATATAATATATATATATATATATATATATATATATATATATATATATATATATATATATATATATATATATATATATATATATATATATATATATATATTCGTGGACATGGAAAATATTCATATATAATACTTATCCTGTTGTAGTCTGATGTCCGGGTGATTCTCACCTCTTAATTAATATATCTGTCTGATCTTCCCTTGATATCAACCGAGATCAGATAGAGTCAGTATCTGCTTCTTTACTGGGACCCCTGCAATGTGACGGAGAACCCCAAACATTTGGTCGTAAAGTGAGATTCTCCTCGGGCGCTATGTTTGCGTTCACCTTATGAGTTATTGGATGTACTGCTGTTTAATTTATATGCACGTCTAAATTTATTATATATATATATATATATATATATATATATATATATATATATATATATATATATATATATATATATATATATATATATATATATATATATATATATATATATATATATATGTGTGTGTGTTCCTAAATAATTAATGGATTTATTTTTAACACGATATTTTTATTACCTCAAAAGTTATTATAGTGGATATTTCGTATTTGAAATAGACGCCACATTTTTATCTATTTATTAATCAACGTTTATTAGGTCTACCGGCCTGCACATTCGAGAAATCTTAGGAAAGAGAATGCTTTCCTCAGCAGGGATCGAACCTGTCGTTTATTCTAATGAGCTTTCCTGTTTGACCACAAAGAACGCCGGGAAAACCATTTTCTTTACTGAGAAGCGTAGTCTCATAGACGTAATTAATTATTAATGAATAAAAAAACGGGGAGGGGGTCTATTTCAGATAAGAAGTATCTATTATAATAATATTTGAAGTAATTACCGTATATTTCCGCGTATAAGGCAACCTTTAGATAAGACGTGCAAAAAAATATAACACATTTTGATGAATTTATCCTATACCTGTAGTATAAAACGACTGTTTATTGATTATATAAAGATGATATTATTGGAAATGTTGTTACTTGTTTATTGTGTCCTTCTTGTTCTTCTTCTTGTTCTTCTTCTTGTTCGTCTTCTTCTTCTTGTTCTTCTTCTTCTTCTTCTTCTTCTTCTTCTTCTTCTTCTTCTATATATATAAACAGTTACAAACAGCCTGGTTTACTAATCACCATATACTTGTACTTCATTGACAATCACAAAAGACTGGTAAAAAAATAGTACGATAATGTATAAGAATAGTACATTCCATTGCTGTGAACGCAAACATAACTCGATGTTTACATTTTCTCAGCTGAGCTTGCATGGATACAAGTTGATTTCATTGAGATTGAATTATTCTTCGAACAGAGAATTATTCCAGTAATATATGAAGTAGAAATGGTTTTATTAATTTAATTATCAGTTTATTAGAAAATATGAATCTTTTCATGTACGTTAGTTATATCGCGCCGAGGTAAGCCTACCGAAAAACATCCGTCCGAAAATTAAGGTTTCTTTTTTTTTAAATTGTAGTATAAGATGACCCCCAATATTTAAGGTGATTTTGGGAATTAAAGTTCGTCTTATACGCGGAAATATACATATATATATATATATATATATATATATATATATATATATATATATTATTTTTAATTATAAAAAATAAAAAGCACAATCCAATCAACAAACCACCGAAACAAATTAAACCCAACCCACTTCTAACTGCAGAATAAAGAACGAATGTCCCTTAAACAGCAATTGCTTGCAAAACAATGTAATATACACGGGCAAGTAGATAAATAGTCTTCAAATTTATACATAAAAATCAGCTGATAACGGGGAAAGAATATACATTGGAATAACTGAAGGACCCTGAAAACAAGGAAACTACGTGCACAAAACATTCTTAACAAATAGAAAATACGCAAACAGAAAAATGCTTTCTAAACAAGTCTTTTGAGATTAAAGAAAAAAACAAATCACACCAAAAATATCATATAAAATAAGAAAAAATGTAGCGACTTACAACAATCAATTCAAGAAGTGTAAACTCTGTCTGGAGGAAAAATAGCTATATTTACCTTATCAGACCAAACTACTCAATAAACGATCAGAACACATCTGAATATGCAGACATGAAAACAAATTTTTACTACGCTTCGGAAACGAAAAAGAATGAATTAAAATAAAATATATTAAAAAAAAACAAGTAAAATAAATTAATCCGCACAAATAAATAAGTCAATAAACTAAGTAAATAATAAAAATAATTAATAAACTATACCCACCAAAATAACCGTTAAAACAATAAATTGAGTACTGACAATGCAATGGAATACCAACAATGTGGCGTGATCGTCATAATTACATTTCTTTTCAATGGGTTTACGTATTTGTGTAGACACCCGTTTTTTTTCTTTCTTTCTTTTTTTTTCTTTTTTGATTCAGACACTGTAATTGACATTTCCTGGCCTAGAATCATCGAAAGTTAAATAAAGTATACCACCTATCAAGGATTGAACCTGACTTCTCTCTTAACTTAAAGGAAACTAATTTTTAGCTATGCTTGAATGAATCCAGGTTGAGAGATACATTTTCAAGAAGAAGACCTTCGAGACATTTAGGCCATTATATATGAATTCCATTACTTAAAAAAACAGGCATGTCTACACAAGAATATCTACTATTGAAAAATAGATTGCAGTAGTAATAAATTCATTACGTAACTAATAAATCAATTAAAAAATAAATATATGCAAATACACACACACCAACACACACACACACACACACACACACACACACACACAACATATATATATATATATATATATATATATATATATATATATATATATACCAATTTGTGACTGGTAGGAATAATTCCAAGGAGAATATTAATACAAAAAAGAGCTCAATGTAAATTACAGAGCATTATAATAATGATAAATCAACAAAAAAACTTAAAGATCCATTTCGGTTATAATTCGTATACATTATAACCGAAAAGAGTCTTTAAGGATTTTTTTTATTTATTATTATTATTATTATTATTATTATTACACGCGCATTTACAGAAAATTCGCAACTATCAATTGCATTAATTTTTTTGTCTTAGCAATTCATTCTTGAAGATGATCTTGGATGAGACTGAAAGTAGTTTGGAAAATAAAAGAAATAACCAAAACTACGGCGTTTTTCTTAATCAGTTTTGTAACAGCACTAAGAAATTGATCCGTGAATTTGAGAGGATTTATAAACTTAGATATAATATGTCTTGATTATTAAACCAAACATGCTTAAATGAAGATATACTGCCTAAATATACATATATTTGATAAAAAAAATTTAGTGTGATGAATTTCTTAAGGACGAAACACATCACAAGTAAACTTTTTTTTCCATTTTGTCATATAATTTCCCCAAAACTCTTCTTGATATATAAAAAAATATCGTTATCTCATATATATATATATATATATATGTGTGTGTGTGTGTGTGTGTGTGTGTGTGTGTGTGTGTGTGTGTGTGTGTGGTATATAATTATTTATTTATTATTATTAATTAAAAAATATGATTCCATCACGACACAGAAAATTTCCATGTTTCAAAACTGAAACCAAATTTATAAATTTAATCATTAAAATTAAACTCAAAATCCATAGTCTCGTTCCATTGTCAAGCGATGATAGGAAATTTTCAGGGTCGCGATGGAATCATATTTTTAAAAAGAAAATTATTATAATATTTGCTCTACTGTTTTGTATCGAGCACTGTTTTTTTTTCTTTTTATAAAAATAACTGCTAAGAACACCGCATTATAAATCTTACTGTTCTTTCTTAACATTTTACTATATATATATATTATAGTGCCCATAAAGTCCGTGCGTAATTTAAAATATTTGTGGCTTTGTAACTATACATGGTATTAACAATCTTTACAAAGGATAAGATAACTTGATGTCTCTTGTTGCCGGAAAAATTTTTTATTCTTTGTTTTACATTTTTTTTTTTTTTTTTCACAATTTCTTGAAACTTCAAAATAAATTTTCTTTTTAGAATTGCTGGTTGACTCCATTGGATTTCTTTTTATGAGAATTGTGAAAAATAATGTTTATTCAACGAAACCTCGACTCCAAGTGCTCCATAAACTCTTACCCCATGGCAAAATAGATTGACTGATTAATTCATTCTGAACGATTCGTCAACACTTTGCATGTTATTTAAAGCCAGAAAATATTTTTAGATTGTTATATTTTCTTTTGATAATAAAGCTTTAGTTGTACAGGCTGTCCATGAAGTCTTTTACAATTTAAATAAAAGTCATTTTAAAAGCAAATGAACGGCAAATATGTGGAAATTGTTACAAAATGAGGAGCAGATATGGAATTTGTTAAACTAATTTAATGCACGTCTATATGAGCACTAAAGCCATCAAGATAGTAATTGAATCTTTGCCATGTTCGTTGTAGCATAGCGACATCAATGGCATCAGTGATCTTTTGCTTTAGATCAGTGATGTCCCGTATCTTTGTTCGATAAACGATATCTTTAACTTAACCGCATAGAAGGAAGTCCAGCGGAGTGATATCTGGTGAACGAGGTGGCCGGGGAATTAGGCCATCCCTTCCAATCTAGCGATCTGGAAATGTTAGGGATTCATGTAACTGTATCTCTTTCATCAATTATATTATACCTGAAATATACAAATTCAATGTGATTACAAACTACTGAGTATATAGAAGAAATCTAATTAAGATATCTCATCAATTACCTTTTTGATAGATTTTTAAATTGTAAAAAGACTTTATCGACACCCTGTACAACTCTTACCAATTAACTCATAGCTTCGGGTAGATATGGTGGATTCATGCCTTTCTTAAGGGTATTTGCGAGTAAGTGAATATAACGAACCCAACAAGAATCGGAACTCGTCTATCCGATTAACAATTCCTAGCCATTATCCATTACACAAACCGCACATTCAAGCTTATAACATATGGTATTCCCAAGCGGTCACCCATCTAGGTACTAAGCAGGCTCGACGTTGCTTAACTTCGGTGATCGTTGGGAACCGGTAAGCCAGACAGAGAAATTGTGAGAGAGAGAGAGAGAAGTTATGCATTTGGCCCATATGTAAAACGATCTATTTCTGGTCATAGACTTATCATAAATGCATACAAACACATTACAAATATATAACTGTTTCGTTGGCATCAAATCAAATCATTTTTTTTTTCATGCCATCAAAAATTGAGAATGAAAAATGCCTCTTTTATGTATGAAATATTAATTCCATAAAACCAGTAAACAAATCTTGTTTCAAAAACGAACGTTTTCTTCTTAAATCTTTAAAATGATCTTGGCAATTTTTCCTGAAAGTCAGTCACGTCTCTCTTCATTATTCTTCTTTTATGTGCCGTGTTTCCTGTGGTTCTTTAATAATAACTTGTGCCTTTTTGTTATTTCTCCCAAACCCTGTTCTATCAACCATATACTCAACCATCAAATATGTTATACACTGCTTTCCTCTGTTTCTCTTTTACTCCATCTGTCCCGTGAGTATCATATTTTCCGAACACTCCTTCCTCATTACCAGAAATTTCAACTGTCTCTATCTGATGTTAAGTATAAGTTTCCTTTTTGTTTCCATTTTCTCTAAAACCTCGTCGTTGCTCACATGTTCGGTCCATCGTATCTTCAGCATCTTTCTGTAGAACAACATTTCTGTTGCTTCAAGTTTCCTCCCTAACTTTGAGATGATTGTCTAGCTTTTGCTGCCATAAAGGAGAACAGATATCACGTAACAGGTCAGGACTCATTCCTTTGTTTCTAACGAAATTTTTCATCTATCTTAATATTCTGCTTAGATTTTGGAATGACATTCATCTTGAAAACAAGATGAAACATTTAATAAAAGAAAACCTACTTTTGTCGGGTAAACCTTTACTTTCTGTCGTTAAAAGTATCTGCAAAATAACTAATTTTCTTCAATACATTTTTAAGTCACTGACTTGGTCTTTCAGAGTTTGTTTATTCAGTTGGAACCATTTTATACTATTTTATTAAACTATCATATTATAACTCTAATTTGCCTTTCGTTCTTTCGTTAACACAAACGTTACATCCTGCCATTGCCTCATAAATAATGTTATATTCCGTTTTGATTGCGCAGAAAAACGTTAGAAAAAGATACACCATAGAGGCTGCTTTTTAAGGAGAAAAAGAAACAAGGGGCGATAACTTTTAACTTTTTAAGGAGAAAAAGAAACAAGGGGCGATGACTTTTAACTTTTTAAGGAGAAAAAGAAACAAGGGCGATAACTTTTAACTTTTAAGGAGAAAAAAAGAAACAAGGGGCGATAACTTTAACTTTTTAGGAGAAAAAAAAACAAGGGCGATAACTTTTAACTTTTTAAGGAGAAAAAGAAACAAGGGGCGATAACTTTTAACTTTTTAAGGAGAAAAAGAAACAAGGGGCGATAACTTTTAACTTTTTAAGGAGAAAAAGAAACAAGGGGCGATAACTTTTAACTTTTTAAGGAGAAAAAGAAACAAGGGGCGATAACTTTTAACTTTTAAGGAGAAAAAACAAGGGGCGATGACTTTTAACTTTTTAAGGAGAAAAAAAACAAGGGCGATAACTTTTAACTTTTTAAGGAGAAAAAAAACAAGGGGCGATAACTTTTAACTTTTTAAGGAGAAAAGAAAAACAAGGATAACTTTTAACTTTTTAAGGAGAAAAAAACAAGAAACAAGGGAGAAAAGAAACGATAACTTTTAACTTTTAAGGAGAAAAAAAACAAGGGCGATAACTTTTAACTTTTAAGGAGAAAAAAAAAACAAGGGCGATAACTTTTTTTAAGGAGAAAAGAAACTAACTTTTTAAGGAGAAAAAAAGAAACAAGGGCGATAACTTTTAACTTTTAAGGAGAAAAAGAAACAAGGGATAACTTTTTAACTTTTTTAAGAAAAAAAAACAAGGGGCGATAACTTTTAACTTTTTAAGGAGAAAAAGAAACAAGGGGCGATAACTTTTAACTTTTTAAGGAGAAAAAGAAACAAGGGGCGATAACTTTTAACTTTTTAAGGAGAAAAAGAAACAAGAAATAACAAGGGAAAAAAGAAACGATAACTTTTAACTTTTAAGGAGAAAAAGAAACAAGGGCGATAACTTTTAACTTTTTAAGGAGAAAAAGAAACAAGGGCGATAACTTTTAACTTTTAAGGAGAAAAAGAAGAAAAAGGGCGATAACTTTTAACTTTTTAAAGAGAAAAAGAAACAAGGGACGTTTAACGTTTGCTTCAGTGAAATGAAAAGCCTTTGTAACCTCATACCTCATTAAATAATGACCTGCTGTCATACCTATGATTATATTTGTAATATTTTATTATTCTTAAGCTGAAATATTTAACGCTGCAAAAGGGGAAATTCCATGGGTATTTTGTAGTCGTGGAACCCAGAAGTAACTTAGGCAGCCATTAAATTTTAAAATGTCTTCTTTTATATGTCGTGTCCCTTTTAGAACGTGAGTAATAATGGCTCTCTGCAACTTTCTATCCTTTGTGGATCTTAGCAAGTTCTCTCTTTTTATTATGTATCCCACCCAAATCTAACATCCATTTACTCATTATTTTTCGAATTCTAGAGTTGCTAACCACCATCCTCCCACCCAGCGGCGTAGGGTGGGGGAAGCGTTTTAGTCACCGACCATTCGACAAATGCCCTTGTTGAATAATCTACGTTAGTTTTGAAAGACTCTTTTAATTTTGATGGTTGCGGGGAATTCGACCTTCAAAAAATAAAATTAATAAGAAAGTTACACTACTAATGCATTAAAAAAAACAAAAACTAAGTAATATATTTAATAATTAATTTAATAATTAATTTTTATTAAATGAAAAACAAATAGTACATTATGGAAAATGTATGATGAATTAGAAAAAAGATTTCTTGTGACATATTTACTGTTAGCAGATCATTGAAGGTTTCCTAAAGCATGTCTGTTTGGCGGGCGGGTGTTACACTGTGTACGTAGACTTAAATAAGCCGACTACACAAAGACTATTAGAAAACTGATGGTTGACACATGCTAAATCGTCCCAGCCCCATTCCATTTTAATCAGTCGCCAATTCTGCTTCCTTTTTATTCGGCACGGATGGAATGTTTTCTGTTTTGGACTGACTTGAAACAGAAGATGAAGCGGCACATCTGGCCGCCTCTCATACACTGAGTAAGCGGCCGAGTCTTTTCAGATAAATCGCTAACAGGTGCGCACCGGCGTGTTTCATCAAGTCGATTCATGTTTTACTCGAGTCAATGAGGTTGGCGGGGAGAGCTGCGAGGTAAAAAAAAAAAAAAAAAAAAGTTATTTTTCCTATCCTGATTTCTATATCATCATTCATACATTGGTTTCCTTGGGCATGAAAATCTCAACGAGTTTCCCGTATTGTATATCCTATTACCTGGCCGACGCCTCTTGCTTTATGGCTGAAATAGTTGCGTCTTCTAAACCAGTTTGAGAAGTGTTTGAGTTAGGTTCAATGCCAAAATTTCGAATATTATTTTTCACGGTAGAAGGGCCATGCTCTAAAACAAGGGTTGGCAACCTACGGCCCGCGGGCCGGATTCAGCCCGCGGGACGGATTCAGCCCGCGAAGGCATTTTGACCTGCCCGCGAGCCTGATTATCAATGACTCTATTTTTAACATGAGAGACGAGGCTTTCGAATCTGCCAGTTATCTTTCATGAGACTTATTTTACCAAGTTGCGTTGCCTACGTTTAATGTCAAATAATGGATACATATTTTATGACCCTTGGCTACATTAAAAAGATAACAGAAGGAAAGGAACGATAAAGTGAAAAAAAAAGAGGCCAGGGAGGGACTGACATGCGAGGTAGCAGAAATCTAAAGACAGTTAAACATACGCGCATTATACAAACATGCCTCATGAATGTGTGGATGATACCGCATGTGTACGTACGTAAGTGTATATGTTTGCAACTATTTGTACTCGTATGTATGGGTATATGTGCTTCGTTTTTGTTTGATGTGTGTGTGTGTGTGTGATTCGTTTGTGGAACAATTTTCAATAACAGTTTCAAACCTACACGTCATAATTTCATCCATTTCACTTCGGTTGGTTTTTTTCACTTTGAAGTATTTTGACGTTCCTTGAGGAAAAGTAATTTTTGTTAGTTTTTTTTTTTAATTTTAGATTTTCTTTTGTTTTTCTGATTTCTCAATGTTTATTTTCATTATTGTTTTAAATATTTAGGTCGACAGTAATTTTCCTTATTTTTTCATTAATGGCCTTCGTCCGGCCCGCGGGGTCGAATGGGTTGCCGAACCCTGCTCTAGAAGAACAATGGGGTCATGTAAGCCTGAATTATTTCTAGTAAAAGACGTTCAAATCATGGCCCAAGGTTTACAACAATTCAGTTTTTAGTCTTGTGTAATAGAGTCCAAAGAACTCAACGGCACCGGAGAAGAATATATTAAATATTTACACATGTTTTTTTAGCATTATTATTATTTCCTTAGATTTCTGTTGTAAACCAAAGTGTATTTTTATTGAGAATAATAATTTTAATTTATTAGCTTGGAATTAAAGTCAAAATTAAATTTTCAATAAAGATATTTCATATTTTTCAAATGCGTGTAAACCTTCGATATCGGGTAACAGATATCGTCACGGAATATGAAATCATTAAGACGAGTTCAAATCAAGTCTTTTGTATTCTCTTTCACGCAAATGCTCTAGAGAAAGACGTGAATCTAGATGACTAAATTAGAATCTGTAGACCAGTGTTTCTTAAACAGGGTTTACTTGAAACTCCAGGACACACTTAAAATTATAATAAGGAGAAATTAGTCATGAAATTTAAATAATAATAATAATAAAGGAGGCTCCTGAAATAAGCATTTACTTCTAAGACATTCTCCCAGTAGACATCCATTTACACACCCAGCGGCCCTACCGACAAGATCCAAAAGAATATAGAGCATTTGGGGACGGTTTCGCTGCAGGAATTACCGGAAAGTTGTCAGTGTTAACAGTCAACCGCCTTCGGGACTCCAATGCGGACTTTCGAGATTTATTTCCATTGTATCTTTAAGTCTACTTCTGTGAAACCCGTATTTGGCAAATAAGAATATTACATTTAATGGTTGTCGTTTGTAGTTTAGAGTTACCAAAGAGGATTAGCGGTACAGTTTTCATTTAAGTAGATTTGGGGAGAATCTACTATTATTTTTTTAGAGAGGCCGATAATGTCTGATTGAAATCTCTTAAGGAAGGCAAAAGGAAAAAGATTATCCACTCCTTAAAAATTAAAGAATTTAGCATCCAAATTAAAATATCAAATGACATTGACTTGATTTAGACATGGAAGCCTTATGCTTGGTGTTTCTAACTTTTTAAAAATATTTTTCTAAATATAACAATAATTCATAAATTACTCTTCTGTTAATTTCAGGCATCTCTGGCTACATTCCAGCTCGCATTATTCTGCCCGGGCGTACCGGTTAAGAATCGTTGCTCTTAATATTAAAACAAACCAGTCTAAGAGAAAGAAAACTCTCTTCCAAACCGTAGAGAAAGCAACGGTGAACCACTTCACTTATCTTTCCTAAGAATCTCCGATTGTTCGCAGATAATACAGTAGAGGAATCTGTGGAGAGTCATGATCGCCTACTTTCTTGAACGGATAAAGCATTTTCAAAAAGTCTCTATAAAACTGAGTGTTATGTTTCTTTCATAATATCTTTCGTCGTATACTGGAATGTCGACTTGGGTACCGTAAACTGCTTTATCAATCTCAACTCTTTCCTGGCTTGCAATCGTTCAGATTTGTCATTTTAAATCTCCACACAATTATTACACCATCATCATGTTTTTATTGCTGTTTATTACAGAAAACTTAAGTTTGTATAAAAATGTATTACAACAACCTAATAGAAATATTAGATATTTCTTTAACTGAATTCTATGAATAATTTTAATGAGATTATGGCTTAGAAAATAATTTGTCCTTGTTAAATTATTAATGTTATATTGCTTTTGTACTGAATCAAATGTTTCGGAAATAGATTGTGAATTTAGTGTTTGGTATTTGGAAACTTTGGGATAAAGAAAACTTATTCAGGGGTATAAAATAAATAATATATTTTTTATTTCTTTTCTTTACTGTGTTCAGTGAGTCCTTTGATATGTGGTGCCGCAAAAATGTTCGATTATAAGGAGGATATTGGTAGCAGTCAGGAGAAATGTCCGTTTCGGTTCCGTCGTGGTAGTTTTGAAATCAAACCATGATAGGGGTAGTAGCTATATTAGAAATAGATCAGTGTTAATCGACTGTGTTTTTTCGTTCCTAAGCAGGGTAGAAACATCATTAGCAGATATTCTTAACCAATTTTTTTACGCGTCACGTATGATTAGTTTCTCTGGTGGCAGCATCTTTTCTTCCATCTGCTACTGCCGTTCTCCTCATTCTAGCTCATTAGTGTCAGCTTCGATCCTGTTGACCAAGTTTGCTTGGTTTCAGCTAATATCAAATGTCTCTTTGTGTCTGTTTTTTTTTTTTTTTTTGATTGCTAAGAATTATTTTATTTTCCGGCGTTCTACATGTGGGCGTTTTTGGGCCTATTCTTCTTCCTCTTTCTACTTGAGGATTGCTTTCTCGTTAGTTGAGAGAATTATAGAAAGAGAAGCTTAGAGAGAGAGAGAGAGAGAGAGAGAGAGAGAAAGAGAGAGAGAGAGAGAATGAAAGAAAGAGATAGGGATTTCAAAGGGAAGCGCAAATACCTTATTTTTATTTCTTTTATTTTTGTTCATATATTTAATTTTTATTTTAATCTGTTTTTATCGGGACTCACTACAAGATAATAGTTATTTGTTCAACGCCTAAGACCTTAATGCGCAGAAAGTGTAAAATAATACAGTCTGTGTCATCCACAGTCAAATCTCCCGCCAGCTATGGGTTTAATTGCAGTGTCGAATAAACTCTCTTGCCACGAGGCCACAAGTAGGCTAGGAAAAAGAAAACCCTTAATTTAAAATGGATGCAATACCTGATCGTAACGTGACGAAGACCGTATTTTATGAATTTGATATAAAAAAAAGAAATCCGTTTGTGTCTTAAGTAAATTATTTCAAATGAAATTGAATAATCGAATAATTTTACACCTTATCCTGTATCTCCTCCCTCCTTCTCTCTCCCTCTCTCATATTGTGTCTACTTATTTTTATACTGATCTTTTCTAACTGTCTTATCAGTTTCTTAATGATGAGATGAAAGTCATCAAAGAAGGTGTCGTAGTTTTTGTTAACCCAAATACTTTCTATCTTTTCCTTTTTTCATCTGCAGGAGTAAATTACAAAGACAAACATATTGTAACTGCGATATAATCTGCATCTGATGGCGATTTAAAAAAAAACACAAAAACACGTGAGAACGCGCAGGGTAATTACTTTAAAATTTTAAATGTATTGCTTGTAGCTATGGAAGCGTTTAATATAAGGAAGCTGACAGGGAATTGCACGAAATGTAAAATGATATTAAATATTTTCTGCTATTTAATATGTTGCTATATTCGTAAGAAATTTTGTTGAGTGTTGGTTGATGAATTGCTTGACGAATTTCATCTTAACATCAAGAAACTGATTGGACAACTGTAAAAGGATTAGTACGAAAATAAGACACAATATGTATTCAATGAAACATATTTGAATAAATATATGCTGCCTATATATATATATATATATATATATATATATATATATATATATATATATATATATATATATATATATATATATGATTAATAGAGATCTTATAAGTATAAGAAACTATACTTACTCAAAAACCTTAGGTGTATTGATATGCAACAAATAATACCAAAGGGAAAAAAAAGGTATAAAAAAGAAAGAACCAAGAACATGTACATTAACCGAAAATAATCGTCCAGCATATGAGTTCAAGGCCCAAAGAAAAAAAAAAACACGATGCGAGTATCCAAAACAAGTAAATAAAGTGCTCAATACAATTAGTAGAGCAGACTTAGTTAAATATATATAGTTAACATATATATATATATATATATATATATATATATATATATATATATATATATATATATATATTTTTGAACAATAAGAAAATAAAAAATTAAAATCTTTAGACATACTGGGTTGTAGATTAATATTCTTTCGTTTTTTTTTATTATTATTTCATTTAGATTCCTCGACTAGTTTCGACCGAAATGGCCATCATCGGGAGGAGAAATATTTCTGCTTGCTGGTAGCAGTGAACTACAGAAATGAATGTCTTGATGGAGAAAATGAACTTTTGTCTGTAGTTTTCATTTGTTTTTTTTATTTTTTATTTTCTTATCTTTTTAACATGAATCTTTTAACATTCCTTGTCTTGGTCAAACAGTCTCTTTTAAGTTGTTATCTGAAATAAGAGCTGGATAGATACATATTATTCTGAATTCTCTGGTCAGTTTGACAGTTTTATTGGACCTGGTGAGGGGATGTGTCTCTGTTTAGTGTTTGTGTGTGTGTTACTTGGTTCTTAGGGAGTGAGTGAGTATGATATGTGTAAGCGTGTGTATTGCTGTAGGTGTGTGTTAACATTTGGCTCCTTAGGGAGTGAGTGAGTATGATGTGTGTAAGTGTGTATATTCGTGTGGGTGTGTGTATAAGTGTGAGGCCTCCACACCTCCGTAAGCATGTCTGTCTTGTGTGGGTGAGAAGTGTAGGTAGGTTTTGATTTGTTGACTATCTATATGTTGTTAAATTTATGATTTAGCCCGACTGGATATTGTGTTTTTAGACGTTGTATCCACTTATTTTCATGGGACTCTAAAATCTTTCTAATGTTATCTGCTCTGAACTTTTCTATTCTATATATATATATATATATTTAATTGTATGGATATTAGCTTTTGCGAGTATCAGAAAGACTGGTTTATTTTTAAAAAAATGGATCTATTTATGCTTATTTGTGTATTGTGGAGGGGGAATTTTCTTCAGTGTTTGTTTGGGAGGACCCTCTCACATACATAGACACACATACATATAGGTGTATGTATTTCAGTTCGTACAAACACACCCATATAAATAATCTGAGGTTAGGTGCAGATACACATCCATGCGTTCGAGAATACATATATACACGCAAATGTCGTTCTATTTCGGTGTCGAGACAGTAGCGTTAGAGTGTAATTGAGAAAAGGACCATAAGGAAGAAGGTCCAAGAAAATAGAAGATAGCGATTGTCGTTCAATTAAATTTTTTGAAGTCTGTAGTTATCAGGGAGGCAAGAAATTGGAAGGGATTTCTACAGGTGGGAGGTGCGAGAAAAGAAGCTGTTCGAATAGAAATGGCGGTTGCATCTAGCAAGTTCAATTGTAAAATGGTATGACCTAGTTGCCAATCTAGTAGCACGTTTAAATTTATTTAGTGGGGGCACCAGGAAAAAAGCTTGTCAAAACAGTTACCATGGAAATATTTGTAGAAAAGACAGAGGGAAGCTACCCATTGTCTCCTAACATCACAATTAAAGTCCGATTAATTTGTAGGTGAAAAATATCTGACTGATTTCAAATTCGCCAAATAAAATATTTTTTATATACAATTGACAGCTCTGCAGAGATTACGAAAAAGTTTGACTTAAATTTTGAAAGGGCACAGAAAATTGGTATTGATTCGCAGGAGATTTTTTTTTTGGGGGGGGGGTGCTTTGAAAGAATTGTATCACGGCAAATGGCGTAAGGTTCCGCCGTATTCCAAGCATTCCACACCAGTAAACGGAGGATCTCGCCCTACGATATCAAAACAAAGATAGAGATTTTCTGGTGGCAAGGTACTGGAAAGGCTTAATATTTTTCGACATATAAATTAAAAGTTAGGTTTTCGTCGTTTGACGCTCATTTGAATATCGGAGGTAGGTTTGTAGTAAAGGTGACGTGAGATAACGTGAAATTTCAAATAGCGAGCAAATACTTGTTCATATATTTATTTAATATATTTGATATATTTAATCCAGTTCAACTGAATCAAAGTAGTAAAGCCACAGAGACACAAGGAGTTACTGGTATGGAAGAGTTAGAAGCCGAAACAAATGCTAGGGAGCGAGAAAGAGTAATCAGGGGGAGAGTTGACAGCGATGGATATTGCATTTAAATTCCTGAATGCTAAAATTGGCTGGAAAGTATTCAATTAGAAAGAAGTTCCACAAGGGAGAAGTGTGAGAAAAGAAACTGCTAGCATAGAATTTTTGGTTACATTTATCCAGCTAAACTATAAATTAGAGAGACGTCGTCGATAGTCTAGTACTGCGCTTAAATTCAGGAGAGTGTAGGTACCATAGCGGAGAGTCCATCCGAGCAATTGTCATGAAAATATCTAAATTAAAAGGCAAATGCAGGAAACCTCTCGGCGGTGCCAAAGTGACTAGGACCGCGAAGCCAGGTCGGGGCCAATAATAATGATGATTGTCCTTTGGATTTTAACAAGAAGTGGCAGCAATATTCTAAACATGGACAAATGGCAGACTTACGGATATGAAAGAAATCATCTAGCACGACACACAATAAACCAACCTTCCCATATATATATATATATATATATATATATATATATATATATATATATATATATGGAAAAATAGGAAACGTATATCAATCTAACATGTTTCACTTTTGTTAAAGTTTTCTCTCAACCTCTGACAAGTTTTAATAAATGTGAAAATTTTTTAGATTGATTTGTTTCCCATTTGTTCTGTATTTTGTCATCCTATCGGATTCCGATACATATTTGATCTGCATTTGATATTTAACTCATCTTATAAAACTTTCAGTTATTTGTTTGGATAAGTCTTGTTCTTATGTACATCGTCTTTGTCATTTTGTATTGATAATGTTATATTTATGAATATGTCCTGAAGATGGTTTATTAGACCGAAACGTCCGACTTTGACATATTAACATTAAAACTGCATAATTGTATATAAGGATTTTTTGTTTTGTTTTTTTCCGTATATATTTTTTCTTCATATATATATATATATATATATATATATATATATATATATATATATATATATATATATATATATATATATATAAGTATAAGATTGGTGTATACGGAATAAATTCCAATAGCCAAACATACTATTCTTAAAAGAGCGCTCAATACAGAGTAGAGCAAAAATAATTTACTCAAAAATTAGAATATAAACATGTTATTACAAATATACCCATTTTGTTTACACACTTCTGACGTCTTATCAAGTGATAGTGTTGAAACGTGATTTAATAGCATGTTTATGTTATAATTTTCGAATACATATATATATATATATATATATATATATATATATATGAAGAAATATAGTCTTAAGGTGTGCTATATTTATGGGATAAAGTGCTCAATATCAGAGATAGAGCGTATGTAAATATAAAAGTGAACATAGAAGTCAATACTTAGAGGCGACAGTCTGTTTCACGCTAGACGCAATCGTCAGGCCTGACGATTACGTCTAGCGTAAAACAGACTATCACTTCTAAGTGTTGACTTCTATGTTCACTTATATATATATATATATATATATATATATATGGAGAGATAAAGAGAGCGATAGGAAATATGCATGTAATATCTGTATTACACAAAAAGTGGACGATAAAATCATATTCATTGTAATTTTCTTATATTATTTTGAAAGGACCCATCGTTGCGAAATTTTTTTAACCAACTTACTTCAAGTAGCTTCTCTTGATTTCTTTACTAGGTTTTGGTGCTCACCAACGTGATTGAAAATGGAAACGCAAGGGAGAGCAGTCATTCGCCGACTGGCTGGTGAGAAACTGATTGAAGTTTCTGTATTATCATTACATTTGGTACAAACCGCTTTAATTGTACCCCGCCTTCTCTTTTCATTCTATCCGTGAGACTGAGTTCTATCGTTACGAGCATTAATAAAATTACATTGACATCTTCGCTATTGTTATTCTGAGACTTGTCATAGCACAAAGATACTATTCTCTAATTTTTGATGCAGGCAAAAAAAAACTGCACTCAACTTACTTCCTCGGATGCACTCATGATTCTATTAAACTTTGCGTAACAGATTTATTTCAGAACACGTCTTGACTGGAATGCGTCAGCTTGAAGAAAATCAATTTTCTTGTTTTTAAATTCTATTTTAAACAAATCAATTCCTTTTGACAGTTTTTATCAAAGTGATCGAATTTTTAAATGTTTAAATTCGGATTTAAAAATCCAATTTTTATTGATAGTTATACGATTATTTAAATAAGTGGTTCTTATCCGAGGCGCATATGGACCCTGGCGTCCATGTAATATCCCTGGGGTTCATTTTAACATGTTTTATTATGAATTATTTTACTAGTGTACACAAAAGTTCCAGAGAATTTAGTTGCTAAATACAAATTTATTTTCAGCAAATTAGTTTTACTTCAAAATAAAGCATATGTAATTACTATTTCTATAATACAATTGTTAACCTAATATATTAGTAAAACATAAAAGCTTTTTTTCATCGAATGGTTATTGCGGTCTAATAAAAAAAAAATTAAGAGTAAAAGTGGCCCATGGGTAAAAAAAAAAGAAACATCGAGAACAACTAATTTAAATCTACTTTCAATAAATTCCAGTCGGAACAATTAAACATACATTTTTTTTACAAAATATATACAGAGTAATAACTGATATAAAAAATATCTCAAATTGCTTTTATATTTTGTTCTCCATTTTTAACCGTAATATTTACAATCTAGCATATTGATTCATCCTGATTACTTTCATCGCTGTTTTTATTGCTTTATCTCATCATTCATGTCATCCTCAAACATGCTCAGATGTCTGTAGTATATTATAATGTCGATGACCTCTCACAATTTCAACATAGTTCTGAAATGCTTTGATATATAAACCGTGTGAGGTTAACAGTACAATAACTCCTAAAAACAGAGACGATATTCTAGCTCTGAGATCAAAAATAGAAGACAATGAAAAACCGAAGAATTCAGCAGTCAACATATTGCCAAAAGAAACTGGAAGGAAATTAGTTCTAAGGAGCCTTGATGCAGGAATACAGTGACATAAAGAAATTCAAGGATATTTTGTTAAAAATATTAAATTGGTTTCATGCCAGTAGAAATTCAAGACGTTACATTTGCAGGCATTGTAATTTATCAGATCTGCCATCTTTTGAGTCATCTAGACAGGCTGAACATTCGAGTACTTGTTTTCGTAGGCCAAATTATAGCAGTATGCAAGATCCCCCTTGAAACATGCTGTGGGTACTAATTTAAATGTTAGTTTATCACGTAAAATGAAGATTTTCTGCACTGAAATTCAAGTAACATGTATCTTGTAGGATTATTTTGAGGACATCTTCTGTATTTAACGATACTATCCTAGACATATTCAGACACCACCGCATCAATTAATGGTATAGTGTGGCCAATTTGGCAGACTATTCTAAATAGTGACTTTAATCTCTACTTAGTGCCCCATTCAAAAATGTTGTCTCGTGGTTAACGAATCTATTGTGCTATTCTGACTACCCGTTATTACAGAGTATTAAGTTCGATCTGTACAAGGTTAACCCATACAAAATTCGACATTAAATAATCTAGCAAATGTTGATATACTATAACCTTTGTTATCTTCAAAATAATCCATATCATGACCTTCTTAACATTTTGATTATATATATATATATATATATATATATATATATATATATATATATATATATATATATATATATATATATATAAAAGTGGAAAAAGTTTTTTTTTCGTGTGACGCGTTTCGTCCTTTTTACGACTTCATAGGACTAAATTTGTTATCTTGATGCGACTTCACATGCGCACGAACGAGCAATGCTGGTTCAATGCTAATCAAAAGGCTCATAAAATATTGCAAAATAGAAAGACGGTCCCTCCTGACAAACCCAATGAATCAAAAAATATATTGTCCTATCAAGTAACTCTATCGCATCTAAAATTGGAAAGAATTTAACCTCAACAGAAAATTTATACTACTACATCTAAAAGACCTAGTTAATACTATACAAAACAATAAACTAAAAAGTGAAGGAGGAAATTACTCGCCTGTAATAAATGTCATAATAATTACATGGGAGAAACCTCAAGCAATCTAAATAAAAGATCATATGAACACAAAAGCGACAGTTTATAAAATAATACAGTGTAACCCGGATGTAAGAGAGTTGTCGGGACCGGAGAAGAAGTCTCTTATATCCGGGTTTCTCTTATATCCGAGTTTGGTCTATTTTATATACATTAACACAGGCTCCAATTTGGGACCAGAGAAAATCTCTCTTATATCCGGGTTTCTCTTATATCCGGGTCTCTTATATCCGGGTTACACTGTACTTCAAATGCCTTGGTTTCCCACTATAACGAGACTGACCACTATTTTGACATGAAATATGCTATTCTGATCAAAGGAGAAAACAAATAGTGTGTGCCTTGATCACAAGTTCATCTACAGTAAATTTGCGCCCTGTCTCTTACAATATTTAACCATTCCTGGCAAAGCTTCTGTTATCACAGTGTGGCACATCATACTTATTATAAAAACCTAGGTTGTGTGTGTGTGTGTGTGTGTGTGTGTGTGTGTGTGTGTGTGTGTGTGTGTTCGTGTATATATTGGATCGGATTTCCTACATTTTTCAACCGATTTCAACAAAACTTCACAGGACTACGTAAAATTACCTTGCGGTGGTTCTGACAGCGCCAAAAATTGGAAAAACACAATTGTTTTTGCAAGAAATCAATTTGAAAACACGATTAAGAGGCATCGCTGTCGCGAGAATGAAAGGGCGACAACTCATATCGAGAATACTACTTATAATAAAACCCACGTTGTTGTTGTTGTTGTTGTTGTTGTTGTGTGTGTGTGTGTGTGTGTGTGTGTGTGTGTGTGTGTGTGTGTGTGTGTTCGTTTATATATGGGATGGGACTTCCTACATTTTTCAACCGATTTCAACAAAACCTTTTTTTGGCAGGTAGTGTTTCTTATTGTCTTGCACACTTTTCTTTATTTTTACATTTAGAATGCTTTACAAATTCCATTTACAAGACAATCGTTTATAATAAAATTCTATTCAATCAGTAGACTCATAACGATTGAAAACAATGTTTTTGTTTGAGTTTGGGTTTGACCAATTCGTAAAAAAGAAAAAAAAAACTAATTAAGACATGCGTGTCCGTCAACCTTAAACAATAATCTTTGTCAATTTTATTTTTCAGTCTTTATGATGGTCGATACTTGATCTATCTCTTACTTTTACATCCCCGGGCAACGCCGGGTTCTACTGCTAGTCTAATAATAAAAGTGATGGAAACTAAAAGAAAAAGAATCTAAATGAAATCGGCTAGATAAAAAAAAAAATTTAAAAATTCCCAGCATTCCTGGATCTTGCTCATATGTAGTCGCAGAATCATACTAAATTTAGTCCGATGATGTCCTAAAGGTCTAAGCGCGTCACACGAAAACTATTTCCAACTTCTTTTACATTTTCCCCCAGTATTGTTCTTGAGATATAAAAATGTTATTATCTCATATATATATATATATATATATATATATATATATATATATATATATATATATATATATATATAATATAAAAAGAAATATAGTCTTAAGGAGTGCTATATTTATGGGATAAAGTGCTCAATATCAGAGATAGAGCGTGTGAATATAAAAGTGAACATAGAAGTCAACACTTAGTGACAGTCTGATTGCATATATATGCAATCGACTGTGGCCTGACGATTGACTTATGTTCACTTTTTATATATATATATATATATATATATATATATATATATATATATATATATATTGAATAGAATACGTCCTACATATAAATTTGTTGTACTAGGATTTTCTGAAAATAGTTATGTTTTTACCATATAGGATTTAAAAACAAACATATGTTTTGACGTGGATTTCATTGGCAGAGCCTATATTTGCATTGTCATTCTAGAGAATAATGCCTTGTCTGTTTACCAAAGCAGAAAGCATTCGATGCAATGCTTCGTTTACATGACCAAGTTACTGACACTATGCATTTGCCGAGCTGTTCCATCTCTGGTTCATTTGTTCATAATGGCCGGCAGATTTCATATTCCACCAAACACAAAGAAAGGGTGTATGTCTTTGTTTCTTATTTTGTAAGAACCACTGTCTTTTCAGTTTTCTGTTATACTTACGGCCATATAACGTTGATGACCGAACTTAAGCAATGTCGAGCCTTGTCAGTACCTAGATGGGTGACTGATTGATAATACCAGGTAAGCTTGAATGTGTGGCTGGTGTAATGGATAACGACTCGAAGTTTTAATCGGAAAGACAAATTCCAATACAAATTGCGCTCGTTATATTCGCTTACGCGCAAATACTCTTGAGAAAAGTATGAATCTACCTCTTCTCACCCCCTCTATGGGTTAATTAGTAAGACTTTAGATTGTAAGAATTTTTAGAAATAATATTCTAAAAATTCTTACAATCTAAAAATATTTTCTGGATTTAACAGACCTGCAAAAGGTTGATAAGCCGTAAAACCAGAAATCAATCAATCAATCCGCTTTACGTTGGCATACAAAACACATGATAAATAAATATCGAAGCCATCTTACACTGAATATAACGTCTTCAAAAATAAACAACTTCCGGTGTAGTGGATACAGTGATTGACTATGTTGCTGTTAGTGATTGTCTAGTAGTCGTGAGTTCAATCCTTGGCTCAGGTAGGGAAACTCTGGCTCAGCAGGAACGAACACTAAATGGTATCA